TTTTTGTGAAATTTTTTCACTTACAAGTACAGAGGGAAAGAATAGAGCTATAAGTTTCTGGTTTTCTTGGATAGCTCTGGTGTCTTCAATAGAGTGGTATGAAGGCTCTATTTATAGGCCAAGAGAGGTATTGGGGCAGATTTGGATTTGTGGTCTTGGAGGGAAATTTTGAAAGGAAAATTTGTCCCATATTTGGTATAGCTGCACACTCAAGTTTTTGGCTCAAAGTGATGCATACATCAAGGAGTATGAAGGTCATGAAGGTGACTGAAGTGAGGCTAGAGAGTAGGGAGGCTGCAGCTGCAAGTTTTCATCATAAAGTTTCTCTTTCCTCTTTGTTTTGAATAAAATAATGCCACTTGTCTTGCAACTTGTATTGTCTACCAAGTCCATCTTTCTTCTGTATTTATAACCATCAAACCCTTTAAATATCAGATCAAGACTTGATCAAATGGTTCAGAATGATTCAAGTGGCTGAAAAGTGAATTTGTGAAAAAGTTGAAATGGTGCATTCAAGTGTTGAGACTCCAACTTGATGGATTCATAACTCTCAGCTCACAAGGGCTATGGAGAATTTCTAGTAATTTTTGGAAAGCCCTCATGGAGCTCTACAACTTCCATGTTTACATGATCTTTAGATTCCAAGTGGAACTAGGTCAAAAATCCTCTTGAAGTTGACTGAAAACATGATTTGCAATGCCAGAAAACTTAGGGAAGGAAATATGGAATTGATTGGCTTTACTGACAGTGATTATGCTGGATCAGTATAGGATAGAATAAGTGCTTCAGGTTATGTTTTTATGCTAAGTGGAGCTGCAGTAGCTTGGTCTTCTCGAAAGCAACTGATAGTAACGTTGAGCACGACGGAAGCCGAATTTGTAGCAGCTGCGAGAAGTAGTTGTCAAGCAATATGGATGCAAAGGGTTTTGAAAAAGATAGGATACAAGCGTAGTGGAAGTACTGTAATCTTTTGTGACAATAGCTCAACAATTAAGTTGTCAAGGAACCCAATGATGCATGGCAGGAGCAAGCACGTTGATGTGCGCTACCATTTCTTAAGGGAGCTTGTGAATGATGGAGTTGTGAGGATTCAGTTTTGTGGTTCAAGGCATCAGTAGCGGACATCCTCACCAAACCATTGAAATTGAAGTCATTTCGGGAGCTGACCATTGAAATTGAAGTCATTTCGGGAGCTGAGAAGGAAGCTTGGAGTTTGTGATGTTTCAGGAGTTAACTAGCTGCAAATGCAGTTTAGTTCAAGGGAGAGAATGATAAGGCTTAGTCAAAAGTGTCCTAGTTTTTAGTATTATTTATTATTTTATTTAATTTAATTTTTGTAGTCAAGTTTGTTTCCTAAATTTTAGCCGAACATGGCTGTAGTCTGTTCCATCACATTATATTTTCTCTATTTATTAGCTGCATTTTCACAAGGAATAAATCAGTCATTTCCAAAGAAAAATATAAGAAAGAAGTGGAAAAGTGAGGAGAAAAAGAAAATTGAAGAAAAGGAAAATTGGGCACTACGCGTGCACATTGTGGCTAGGATAACCTTCATTGTGGTGCAATGCAACCTAACACACGTGCGGTAGAGATGTTAAAGACGCATTACATGTGATGCAACGCAACCTGCACCTATAAATTGCCACTTTTGGAAAGTATTGTTCATGCATGCAAATTGTTTGAGAGATTGCCATTTTCTGTTTTCTCTCATAATGGTACAAAAGGGTTATTTTTCTCTAATTTCATTCATCAAAAAGTTTTCATTGAGTTGTTGTCAATATTATTGGTTATCAGGGGCTGGAAACAACTTATCTATTCATGGAGAAGTGCCTTTAGCCATCATAGTGTTATTTCCCTATCAGATTATATCAAATTGTTGTTTGATAGTGGGTTTGACACTAGAATATTCTTTGTGATTCATGAATTACTAGTATGCTTGAAGGAGGAATGAAGGTATGTTAAGATCCATGCATATTATCGATTCCGAAAAATTAGTAAACTTTGATACAAATGAATGGGTGGTTCTCATTTTGTGGAATTCAAACTTCTGTCATGACCACCCCTGGGACCATGTTGTTACCATGCATCCTATAAGGTTTCTACTTCCAAATTACAAAATACAAGTTGATGCAGGTATCCCATTCATGATGAAAGCTCAGACCTGTCATCCTCTAGATCCACTATCTGCCGCTGAAATATTAGTAGTTGTCTCATATGTTCGGGCTGCGATAGCACGCACTCTATCGAAGTAGTTTGGTAGAACCGGTGATGCAAGTTGTTGCATTGGTGGGTGCATATTTCTTCCCTCCTTTTCAGCCATTGTTGCTACTGAGTTCCAAAAGAGGATGACCTTTGATTCCTGCCAAACTTCCCAATAGGAAAGCATGGCTAGTTGTTTACAATAAAAGTTCAAATGAGACAAGCGTATGGATTGTCGAACTTCGAGAAGTTCATGTAGCAACTCGAGGCGGCCAACACAGAGACAAATTCATTTCTTATGAAGTTGTGCCAAACATTTAGCCACCAATGGACGTCATAGAGTATGCTGAATATCAAGTTGTTGTGAAGGACTTCCCTCCGTTTTGAGAAGCAATGAAAAGAAGAGGGATTAAGGATATGGATCTTGTAACGGTGAATGCCTGTGTGTTAGATATCGTAGGGAAGTCGATGCTCCAAACCGCAAGCTAGCTAAACCACTAATCTTTTGTAGATGTGAGAGTGATTGCCCTATCGAAAATGGATATGCCAGTCCCCTTGAAGGAATCTATGTACTCGTTGACATGCAAAATTGGGTGAATTTCAAAAAGGCAAAGATTGAGGTGATTTTCGAGCATTTCCAAATACATGCATGGCATTTCCCAATTATAATCTTTCTTTTGGACTTAATTCATATGGAGACTATAATGATGGATTGAGAAGGTTTTTTATGATGTCTTTAGGAGTATTTGCTCTTATAATGAAACAATTGCAAAGATTTGTGGTCTTTGCTTAGAGTTGGTGGAAGAAAGATGAATTCACAATTATGGGAGGAGCATGATGATGATGTTAACTCTGCACTTCAACAGCATCATCAATTGCTGAGGGTATGTTCTGCTTTCCCCCATTAAGTTATTAATACATTAATGTTCATATAAATGTACAAATTTTCATAGAAAAATGAAAGCACAAAGAATACCCTTTCCATAATCGGATGGGATTTAACTACTATATTACCCCTAAAAACATGTGTTCCCTAGTCACCCTGTTTTTTATCCATCCATGACAGTATGGCACCAACAAATTGAACAAAGCAGTCTCAATAAAAAAATCAACAATGCAAACTTTGGTGACATTGAACAGTAATAAGATTCAAATCTATTGATGAGACTCAAATGGTTAATAAGAATCGCTTAATCTGAATCCTAGAAGAAACAACCATTAACTGAATTTTCCATACCTCCCAACTAAATTCAGAATTCCGAGTCTCTTTCTTAGACGCCAGAGGATTAAAATTTATAGTCATCCGCACACAAAGGACAATCATAGAAGATCGCAATCTTACAATTCAACACAATGGTTATAACTACCTTTTCAAACCTCTCCCTAGTTAAGCTCCAAGAACAACTAGTTTGCCATGTAATTCTTATTTAACAAGACTAAAACATAGCTAAGCTTTTGACTATACTTTCCATCTAGTATTAGTTAGTATTTCTTTCTCTTTGCAGTAGTAAATGGTACCAAAGTTCAACAAAGTTTCTAATATTTTAGAACCGAACACCACACGTTCCAAGTAGGCAGTTCTATTAGTAACCTAAGGAACATTGAATGAGGTTTATGCAGAATGTCCAGGCTTCAATTATTGGAAACTAACATAACTACCAGCTTTATAATACTCACACTACTACAAAAAAGTTTTATAATAGCGCTTTTTTTTCTTTTTAATAGCGCTTTAAAGCGCTATTAATCAAGCCGCTATTGTAAAACAACATTTTTAATAGCGCTTTAAAAGCGCTATTATAGTACTGGTAATTAATAGCGTTTTTTCAAAAGCGCTATTATAGTACCTGTATTTAATAGCGCTTTTCCAAAACCGCTATTATAAGTCACATATTTGATAGCGCTTTCAAACAAAGCGCTATTATAGTACCGGTAATTTGCTTTAATTTTGATAGCACTTTCAAATAAAGCGCTATTATAGTACACATATTTAATAGCGCTTTCAAATAAAGCGCTATTATAAGACACGTATTTAATAACACTTTCAAATAAAGCGCTATTATAATCCATATATTCGATAGCACTTTCAAACAAAGTGCTATTAAAAGTGCTATTGTAATGCAACATTTTAATAGCGCTTTTTAAAAATGCGCTATCTTAGTGAAGATCTATAATAGCGCTTTTTTACAAAGTGTTATCAAAATCATATTCTTTGTACTCTTTAATAGCGCTTTACTATTAAACGCTATTATAGATGTGTTTGTTTCCTTTTTAATAGCGCTTATTTTAAAAGCGCTATTAAATTAGGCGATACAAAATAGCAATTTTTGCGTAGTGTCAACTATAAAATTAGGATTCCTTCCACTTGGAAGAATCACGCAGTCAAAAGAACTAAACCATGAGATGAAAAACAACCATAACTTAACCAAATCTTCTTCAAAATATAACTTCATCCAATCCAATAGTCAAGATTCAAGATTATGTAAATACGTGAGAGTAGGGAATCCAACTCCATGTTTATTCAAGTGGGTTTGACAAAATCACATGAATATCATCATTTTGTTGAAACTTCAAACTATAAGTTTTTCCATGATCAAAGTGGCACATTGTCACGGCAATTCAAAGATTTACAGAATTTCTATCAACAATCATTACTAACAAACAACATGACATGAATAATTATTTCAAAACATTCAAAATACAAAAAAGGAAATATTCATAGAGGCAATTTAACAAACACCATACAAGCAATTACAATTACAATTACAAAACAATAAATACTCACTTTCACTTGACAATTAAACCTACTTCTTCTTCCCTCCACCACTTTTAATCCCTTTACGCCTTGAAGGAACAACAATCTCACCTTTGAGTACAGGAATCTCCATAATGTCCGATAAATCACCGAACTTCTTACGGAACTTCTCCACCTGATCATCATTCACCATGTTGGATGAACGGTTACCGAGGTAAAACTGGTGGTTACCTGACCAAACATCAACAACATACTTTTTCTGAGTTCCACTTGTTGTCATAACAAGCTCGTTGTTTCAATAAGCCTTAGCATCTTCGTAGAATTCTGGGTGTATGTCTTTTTTCTTACACCATACTCCGAAATTACCCACTTTTTTCCTTATTGCTGCTGAAACTATAAACACAAACAAAAACGAGCTAATTAGTTAGTTGAAGATGGAAACAATAATAATATGAAGAATTGGAAGAAGGGAATTGATTGATACGTTTTTTGTGGGAAGTGGAAGGAATGGTTTTCCTTGTAGAAAGGTATTGGTTACGCACTGTGCCATTTTTTAAGATATGGATTTGATGAAAAAGATGAGAAATGGAGATTGTGTGGATATATGTTGTTGTTGTTGTGCACAATTCAAAGTGGGCTTTTTCTACTTCATTTTATTTGGCCCAATTAGCCCGTTAGAAAATTTAAGTGTCAAGATGATAAATAAAAAGAAAAAGTACATGATAGTAAAGTTTGTGGCAAATTGTTTTCTCAAATTACAGAATATATTTTAATACTAATATTTAACTAATACTCTTGTTATACGTAGCTATCTAGGGACCAATTTCATGCATGAATGAGATAGGGACCAATCTCATCATTCTATATGTGGTTCTAATTATTGGTCTATTTTTACACGCATCTCTTCCTCATACCTACTCATGTTCCTGCATACTCATTTATTTAAGATATAGTTTCGATAACTGAAGGAAAATTCATCACCTTCTCAATAAGAAAGAAATGGAAACTGTTGAAACACTTCACATGAACAAAGGAGCTGACAAAACTAGCTATGCCATGAACTCCTTCATCCAGGTAATATTGATTGGTCACACTTCTATGTAAAAATAACGTTTATAATTATTAATAAGACTTGCTTAATTAGTGTAAATAAAATTTGTAGAGGAAGATAATATCATTGACAAAAGAAGCAACAGAGAAAGCTATTATGGAAATTCTAAGCTCAAAAAGATGGCCAATAATGAAAATGGGAATTGCTTATTTAGGTTGTTCATCAGGACCTAATGCTTTAAGGGTGATGTCGGAAATAGTTGAAGCTATAAATGCAGCTTCAAATATGTTGGATCGACCAGCACCAAAAGAACTAATGTTGTATATGAATGACATTTTCACCAATGACTTCAACAATGTCTTTGCTTCTTTGCCATCTTTTCACAAAAGAATAAACCAGAAAAAAGAAAATAATGGATACTTTAGTTCTAACTGTTTTGTTTCCGCTGTACCGGGAACTTTCTATTGTAGACTTTTCCCAACTAAGTCAATTCACTTCGTTCACTCTTCTACCAGCATTCATTGGCTTTCTCGTGTATGTTTTTCAAACTTTACGAGACTACTTTCTCAAGTTGTTGAGAAAGGATTAAGCGTTGGTTGTTATTATTCACTTGTAATATTTTGTCTTTACTAGAAAAGTAAATAAATATACCGTTTTAATTCATTCCTGCTTTTCTTCTCTTTTTTTTTTCTTTTGTAAAACTAGAAAGATTTTTTGTGTTTGTTCAATAAAACATCTCTTTCTCACAGGATTACTTCATTCCTGGTGCAGCGTTTGTCACGGCATATAAAATTTTAAAATAGTATCAAAGTCCATCCAAAATCTATTGGGTCTTCTACTGTCAAATTTCACATATCATTTATATCCACTCACCAAATTCAATAGTGTTTAGCACGATGAAGAGTTTTAAGAATTAACTTGAGTTATAGAATGAAGATGTGTTAATTAAATTATTAATTTTTATTATAATTAAAAAGAAATTAGTTTTTGCAGATGGGGTGGGAGCGAGTGCAGAAAAATCCATTCTCTACTGATGACGGATTTGGGCGATAAATTTTTACTCCTAACTGAGTTTGAAGGTGGAGACGAGTCTACTTCATGTACGCGGGTGCTGGTGTGGGTATAATTAAATCTGCTTCCGTCCCGCCCCTTTGTTATGCCTATTTAAAAAGGAAGGGTCATTTATGGTAGACTCTTATGAAGCTTATGAAGTTGATTGGGATGATGGTACGAATTTGCAAAGTGATTATTATTTATCTCTAACATCGACAAGAGGGGAACGTTTTTCTAGAGCCTTGAAGGCTGTAGTTGAGTCCATAATAGAATTTCATTTTGGGAATCATATAATGGATGAGTTGTTTGGAAGGTATGCTATTCTTGTGGAGGATCATTTGTCCAAGGCTAGGGCCACATTTATAAATTGGATCATTTCTCTAGTCAAGAAACATTGAAACACATAAGCACCAAACAAACAACAATAATATATGTTTGTTTTCATGATATCTAGCTCTCTCTTTTTGGTTATGTTTGCTTATGTGTATTGTCCACTTATATTCAAATACAACTTCAAGAGTTTATGCATGAGTTTACATGTGAAGGATAGGTAAGTGAGGAAAATAAAAATGGTCATTTGTATTGTATTTATTTGTTTCCCCTTTCCACAATTTAACTTTATTCTAGATTGTTTTAGAATGAATAAATGAGTGGGGTTGATGAAATTTGTTTCCACATAACTAGACAACAAGTTGCACTTGACACAAGAAAGCATACGAAGACAACGCATTTATGACATTTCCATTCAATTCTGTCTAAACATTAACAAAGATAGCTCAAAGGCCCGAATACTATTTGCAAGATGATTTAAGTTTACAATAAAGAACTTGCTTAGTACATTGAAGATCTTTCTTTGGATTACAACAATTAATATCACAAAAACGTTTCATTGGAAGGTGCCCCATGAATACAAAACATGGACGCAAGGGGGCCTGTGTCACACCCTAATTTTTTACCTTAAGATCCCACCTCCTTGTGTGTTTTCTTACGTTTTATCTTTCTACTTCTATGTGCGACTAACGAGTGTGTGCAGGGTTATTTTGCTTTAAGGATGTCTCTAGCGGTTTTTTTTATTATGATTAGATCCCCTTAAATCGAGATTTTGGCCCCCTTCAAGTTTTTCTCTAGGAAGGATTATCAAGACAGGATCCGTACAGGAATCGAGGTCACGGACTCATGATATTTGAGGCATTTCGAAATTCAAATCAAGACCGAAGAATTCAAGATCCTAAGATTGACCAATCTCTAAACGTAAAACCAAATCGTGATGGAGGTTGACAATAGTTTGCGAGCGATATGTTATCAGTGTTGAAGTCGGGTTATAACAAAATTCTGTCAATATGAGGTTCGCACTTGTGGCTCACTTAGAACACCGGTTACAAACATTTAGGAACCCAAATTAATTTGAAGCATATTATTCAAAGCTTTCTAAGAATTGAGGCTTGTCAGGTTTTCTTTCCAAAACACGGGTTTCAAGAAAAGTCCAAGTTTGAGCTTAGTCATTGAAGCGGTCAAGTCCCCATTTTAATCCGAAGTTACAAGTTTAAGTTCAAATTCAAGAGCTGTTCAAGTGGTAAAGAGGGCATGTCATGGAACTTTATCAATTTGGTGATGGTTCGTCACCTAATCTTAATAAGGGATCGAATCCTAGATTGGTCCCTGGTTTGAGTATCTAAATCAGAGTGGCCACGTTACTATTGGTGGTATTAACATTGCTTGAGGATCTCATCAGCCAGCGAAGGCCCATATGTCATTCACCTCAGAAGAAAAGCACAAGAGGCTTCGATTGCCATGTTCGTTGATATACTACGGCTAGGAGACTTATCATTTACAATAATTAGTATTGGGGACCATATTCAAGTAATAAATTAAAAGCTGCCACACATCAGTTGCAGCCTAGAGAATTTCAAGTTAATCCCATCAACTAGTAACATATTTCGGTATTGAAGTTTATTCAAGAATGTGATATTAGTACATGTATTGAACAAATGATACATTGCCAAGTCATTTATCCAATATATTCGAGCATTTTATACAATAAACAAGTCACTTAAGGTAAACAAAGAAGGACTCGCGAAGGATTTCGTTAAATGGACAATTTGGAATGGTTACAACTTCACCATTGAGATTTCGACGATATTTTAATCGACGTCCACTTCAACCTGAGCAAAAAGACCATGCTTAGGGAGCCTTAGCATTTTTGAAGCTTCTCCATATCATTGGAACCGACGACCTTGCTTATATCTCTTGAACACATGAATGAAGTTTATTCACTTCGCCGATGACGAAACTTGTTACACAACTCCTTTAAGCTAATGGCGCCTGTTGGTCCGAAGGCTGGAGATATCCAAACTCAACCTCAGCACCGACCGTAAGTTAGAATCTGCCACATCAATCACAAACAGAATTAAATCGTAGCCGTGTCGTTCATTTTCTTTTCAGAAACATAATTCACAAGAGACCATAAGGAGGAGCTAGAGATGGGCGAATTTTACCTCATTTATTCAACAACTCGAACGCCAACCTATGACTCCCAAACGGACCATTAACCTGACTGCTTGAAGTTACATACGAACCATCAATCTATCACTGCAACAACATAAAATTTGGGTTAGCAAGGCACCTAGTCCTTTTGCAAATGCCAGCAAGAGCAATAGCTACACATCTTAAGAACTAGATTGCTGGAAATAGTTCCTTTGAACTCACCCGTGTGGAGAAGCCCAGCGACGGCGACTACGTACAGCCTCCAAACTTATAATTTGTTCCTGAAAGAAGAAGAGAAACGTTAGCGCAACAAGTATTACAACATATGCGGTGCAAACAGCCACTAACGGGACCACAAGATTATCCATGGTGTGATATTGGATCTTGAAATGCTCTCGATTTGCTCGCAACCTCGAGTAACCGATTGTAAACGACACTCGGACTACCAAGCTCGCTGCTAGACGTATAAACTAGGTACACAAAAATGACCAAAACAACGTGCACTGAAAATTGAAAACAAACAAATATACTCAGTTTAACAATATGATAGTAAATAAAGCAAAAAGTTAATACGGGTCAAACAAATGATTTAAAGTTGAGGCGTTGTACCTATGACAGAATGTATATAGCTTGCTAAGAATGTGGCCTTTAATCCACCAGCTAGTGTATAGACAATTACTCCAAGTGGTATTAGAAAGCTAGCAGCATAAATGTTGACTCCAATTAATGCATTTACAACAGCAGAACCACCAAGAAGTAACATTGTCGTTACGATTATATTCGTCATGAAACAGAAGAAGAGGAATACGATGTGTGCTGAAGTCCCCCATCTGAGATAATCAAACATTGTTACCACATTAGAACGACAAAAGGAATCACTTTTACACTAATAGGTGTCGCAGACTTGTTCAATCATATGATCATCAGACGCCAGTGTAAACAGAGTAACATACCGGGCTTTGACAATTTCGCACACGGTATGAGCATAAGGAGCCTTTCTTTTAATCTCTATAGCCATGATTCCAATTAACATCACCTAATCATTGTCAAGTATAAGTCTTGTTTCATTTTCCATTGTCCGAATTCGAATATATCAAAACTTGAGTTGTAAGAAACTTTACATACTCGGATGGTGGCTCCACTAGCATACCAGAAAGGTCCACTAACTCCATACTCCCAAGCAACATTAGAGCTTTGCAGGATTGTAGCAGCCCAAGTCCATTGCAGAAGCATGAATTCTATGTTAAGATAAGAGATAAGAAAATGTATCAAACTTGAGGTTTGTAAACCGCGTTGAATAAGAAGAGACTAATTGAATAAGAAGCATGTTGGATATGTTATAATCAAAAAAGGAAAGTCATCATTTGAAACTGAAAGACACCCTGAAAATTAGTAACAGCAAGACAACAATATCAGACAAGTCAGGCAAGAAAGGAAAGAGTTTCTTATGAAGATTAAACAATCGCCAGCATATTCCAATCGATTAGGAAACGTTCCATTATCTCATCAATACAAAAACAGCTGGGCACCGACAGAGTTTTAAAAGCAATTAAAGGGTTTTTGAAATGCATTCAGGTGTATAAAATGGCACTGTATCAGTAAAGAAGGCAGAGATTCCTTGATAGTGGGACACACAAAGGAATCCACAACATTCACACAGAGAAACCCCAAAATCCAAAATCCCCAAAACCAGATTCAAAAACACGCAGCAAAAAATCGTAAATCCAAATCGTAAAAGAAACTTATCTTTGTTTTGACGTCGTTATCCCTCGAAACCCTTATCGTCACCGGAAAACCACCGATCCTCCGTCCATCGCGAACCCCTTCAAAACCTCGCCGCAAAGTCACCGACGAAGCTTCGAACCATCCTCATCACCCGTTCGGTACACCGTTGACCCGCTGTTAAAGTTTTCCTTGTTTTTTGATTTGCTTTGTTCGCTTGCAGGTAGACGAAGAAGAAGGGTGGTCGGAAACGTTAGTAGAAGAAGGGGAATCAGAGAAATCGAAAGAGAATGGCGGAAGGAGGAGAGATAGGAGAGGTCAAGCGACGGAGGGGATTGATTTAGGGTTTCTATTGTTTTTTTTTTGTTTTTTTACGTTGTAACATAATCACACGCGCACACACCCACACTAATTATCATGTACCCACGCTCACTGCCACTCATCACGCATCATACGCACCAGATCCCACCCTCACGGTGAACCCCTTCACCTGCAACCACACTGAACCATCTGCCACTCATTAATTAACCTCTTAATCTCCCCATCAAACCTTAACCTTTTATTTAACCCTCTAATCAACTTTTTTTATCAGCCTAGTCATTGTTTTTAAAAAACCAGTTTATTTAATCACCACCCTAAAAAATCGGTTTTTCTATAAACTAATAACTCCCTTAAATTAACTTTTTTAATCAATCTTTTTAATTAATTGTCCTTTTAAATTAATTTATTACACTAATCTATTAGTTATTTAACATTTCAATTTAATTTTATTTTAATCACCTTACCATTTATCTCATTAACTTAACATTTATTTTATTAAATAAGTATAAATAATTTGTCCATACTTCTAAATAATAAAAAGATCTATTTTCATATAATTTAAAATGATTTGTATTTATCCTATTTGTTAAATTAAAAATATTTTATTTAATGAAAAAACCCCTCTTTTTCTAAGTGGCTCGCATTTTATTAATAACTAAAACCTTTTTAATCTAAAACCAACTTTCAACTTTTTATAATAAATAAGAGTTCCCTTTTTTTTCTTTTTAATAAATTTTTATATAATAAAAACTCTTTTCATAATTATAAATAAACAATTATTTTATTTGTAAAAAACTCACTTCTTGGCAATCTTTTTTTTTATCAATAATCTTTTATATTAACTTTAATAATAATCTTTATATTTATAAAC